TAAATTTTTATTCAGATCTGCTATCTCGTATACGATTTTTGAGTAATCTATTTGTAAAATAAATACGCTTATCAAAGGGAGCTACTACCCTACACCTTGTAGAGAGTTCAATTTCGTAATTTAAAATAATATTCTGTATTTTTATTAATAACAAACATACTTTTTTATACAAAAGTTATTTATTTTTATTTAAAAACTTTAATCTAATTAAGAATATAAATTAAATTAAAAATATTCTATTAAAATATTAGAAATCCTATACTATTTAATTTAATACTAATTAGAATTCTATATTTACTATTTACTAATTCAATACTAACTAGAATTTCAAATTTAATTGAACTTCAACCTCTAATTTAACTCCTATAAATGCGTCTATAATAGTGTAGTAAATCTTCCAAAACTTTCCTTAACCATAAGGTTTGGTTAATGGCAGCGGCAACAACTATGTATTCTGCTTCTTTGATTGTGCAACTATCTCTTACTTCTTATACATCCATAAAAGGTACCTCTGAATCAAGCGTAAAGACATATTCACTTGTGCTTTTAAAATCATCAAGGTATCATACCCAATCACTGTATGAAAAACCTTTAAAATTTCTATAATTTGCTTACATATAGTTGATACCATAGTCAACAGTTTCTTTAACATATCGCAAGATCATTTTTGCTAAAAAAAAATACTTCTCATCTGGATCTTGTGGGAAGCTCAATAAAACACTTTTACCAAACAAATAAATCAGATCTTGTAGTTGTGAGATAAAGCAGACTTCCCACCAAACTTCTATACAAAATATGTCATGAGTCCCAAGTTGGACATTTCAAACATGACTTGCTTTTCATTTTAAACTGCATTCTGATTTAGAACTAGCGGAGTAGCTACTAATTTGTGACTTTCCATTTTAAACTTCTTTAGTAATTCTTTTGGCATATTTTCTTTGATAAACAAAAGTACTTGATGAGAATTGAGTAATTTCCATTTCCAATAAATATGTCATGAGTCCCAAATCTGACATGTCAAACATGACACATTTGATATTTGAAATTTGCAATAAATTTCTCATAGCTTTATGTAATTAGCAAATCATCTATATAGATAGAAACAACGATAAATTTTCCAACTTCTGCAGTTTTAACATATAGAATAGACTCATTTTCGCCTCTGACAAAGCCACAATTGATAAGATGAGCATCCACTTTCCTGTACCATGCTCCTGGGGCCTATTTAAAGCCATACAGAGCCTTATAAAGTCTGTAAACATAATTCTCCTCGCCCTCAATCTAAAACCCCTCAGATTGTTCAACATACAATCCTTTCTGCAATTCTCCATTAAAAAATGTAGACTTTACATCAAGATGAAACACTTGCCATCCTCATAGAGCTACAAGTGCCCATAGTAGTCTTATAGTTTCATGGCTTACCACAAGTGCAAAGATATCTCCAAAATTCACACTATGTTGCTGAAAATACCCTTTTGACTACCAATCCTGCTTTATGTTTTTAAATGGTTCCATCGGGATGTAATTTGGTCCTGAAAACCCACTTTACACCTATGAAATTTTTTAAGACCAGTTTGTTTATGAAACTCCAGGTGTCATTATTTTCGATCATAGAAATCTTCTCCTGCATAGCTTGCTTTCATTCCTTATATTTGGCTGCCTCTTCCTATAATGAAGGTTCAACCTTCACAAAGTTGCATTTTTCATAGATTTCAGACAAAGATTTTGTCTTGAGTACATGTGATTCAGTTGGGTATCTAAAAGTGCATCAGTATTCTGTTTTAGTGGAGTGTCAAGATCAACTGAGTTTTGTATCTGCTTCAAAATTTTTTCTTCATCTCTTTCAGCCGTTTCCTACTCTCAATTCCAATTCCAATGAGCATCATCAACTTTGACATCTCTATTGACTTGAACCTAACTTGATTTCAGGTTATATATCCTATAACCTTTTGAGGTTGTTGCATAGCTTAGAAAAATCCATGGTTCAGCATTTTGATCAAGTTTAGTCCTCTTTGCTGTAGGCACATGTACATAACATATAAACGAAGGTCACTCTTGTATAGTCATCAATGAAGAGCACAAAGTATTTGTTTTTGTTGAAAGATTTGATGCTCATGGGACCACATACATCTGTGTGAACCAGCTCCAACTTTTCTTTTGCTCTCCAAGTTGACTTTGATGAGAATGATGCCTATGAGACTTTCCCAATTCACAGATGTTACATACATAATTTTTATCTATTGAGATTCATAGATATCTTGTCAAGCCTTGAGACTTCATTTGCTAAAAAGAAACAAAATTAAAGTGGCCATATCTTTCATGCCACAATAACAAATCCTTGGATTTGCTGTAAAAAGCACTATCACTTGCTGAATTCTAATTCAAAGTGAAGGCTTTATGACTCATAGGAACATGTGCAACTAAACGTTGGTTTTAATCATATATGCTGCAGCTTGCTTTTTTTTTTTTAATAACATATATGCTGCAGCTTTGATCTTTAAATTTTAAAGAAAATTTATTTGAAATCATTTGAGTAACACCTAGCAAGTTTTGAGCCAAACTAGGTATATAAAGCACATTATGACTATACTTGGTACCTTGCTTGGAACAATTAGCAATTGACCCCCTTTTGCTTCTACCATTTGACCATTTCTAAGCTTAACTTTAGTGTTGACAGACTTTACTAGGTTGCTGAACAAGCCTTCATCATACACCGTGTGGCTAGTACAACCAATGTCAATGTATCAGATATGCTTGCTTGAGTTTTGAAAAAACCTAAGAAGCCATAAGAAAATTAGTTTGTTGCTCCTCTTGTGCATCTAAATAATTAGCATGCTGTGTTTGCTCATTCTTCCCACTTGTTTGATTTTTCTTGACCTAACAATTTTTCTGTCCCCCAAACTTTTTGCAATACCTGCGTTCTATCTTAGGTTTATCTTTAAACCTTCAATCCTTTTTCAAGTGATTTATTCTTTGACATATGTTACAAGGAGGAAATTTATTTCTTCTTCTATAATTTTTTGGAATCTCTGCAGCTTTACCCTTTTCTGACCCATTATTCTTGTATCCCTTCCCTTGATGCTTCCTTTTTTGTCTAGCTTGGAATGCACCTTCAACAGTCTCATCATCTCCGAGACTTGTTTTTTGCTCTTGTACATGTAGCTTACTGATAAATTCCACAACAATTAGCTTTGTCAGACTAATGACTCCTCAATTGCTAAAATCTTTAGTTCGAACTTTGCTGGTGAGCTTATCAAAAATTTTTCAATTACTTTTTTGTCTGAAAACGGTTCTCCAAATAACTTTATTTTGTTCACAATTTCCAACAACTTTCCAGCATACTCTTTGACAGTCTCACCTTCCTTCATTTTATATATCTCAAATCCTCTTTTCAGTGTGAGAATTTTGACACTTTTCACCCTATCACTGCCTTCATACTCCTCTTTCAACTTTTCCCAAATTTCTCTAGGATTTTTATAAGGCATTACACTCAAGAAAATAGCTTCTGATAAGGCTGAGAGCAAACATGTTAGAACTATTGGCTTCTTGGCCTATTGCTCTTTCATATTTTTTAAGTTGTGCAATAGTTGGATAATCTTCAAGTGGAGCTGGTTCTCCACCACTTTCTTCTACTTCCCACAAATTCAAGGCCTTCAAGTAGGCTTTCATTTTGATTACTCACACTTGATAGTTTTCTCCATTAAACAACAGAAGTCCAGTCCCTAAGAAATTGTTTGCAAACATACTTCTGTTACTTTATGATGTTTGTTTCTTCTCCTTACAAACACTCAAGATCGTTCTCTCACAGGTCCTTAAGAATGAGAATTCTGATACCATTTGATAGATATACTTAGGAAAGAGAAAGTATATATAGAAATTTTAACTTTTCCTAGTTATATTGTGTTCAAAATTCAAAAAGAGGTTATATAGAAAATAAGATACATGCATAAGGTAAACCATACATACATGTACTAACATGCACCTTAAAATTTATATACCTATACAAGTATACATGCACTTTAACATAAATGTGTGTTAAGAAAGATCTTAGTATATTAACAAACTTCTTGTGAAAATCACCATTATCACCATTACAAAGAAGAGATACATTCTCGGATTATTTTTTTTTTTTTTGTTTGGCTAAACAAACAGATGTCGAGAATCAAAATAAAGAGAAGTTTATATAGAAAAGAAGGGTGACCTGGGTAATCTCAGCCGAAGCAACCCATATGAACACAACCGCGCCAATCAATCCTAACCCAGCGTGATATTTCCAACCCATTAGCCAGATAATGCGCCCAGCACGACCAAAAACCTTGCAACTCAAAATTCCAACCCAAAAAACAAAAAGGGTAATCTTCCTTTCGCTAGAAATTTATTGTCTTTGAATATTGAAGATTGGTGTAGTGGGATAAAATCAACATGAGGCGTGTTAACTCTTTTAATCCGTCGGTGGGTTATGGGAGTTGCTGGACTTCGGTTATTTGTATGGCCCGAGTTGACCTCTTTTGCAGATAGGTTCTAAGAGAAAAAGCGAGATAGTATTGCAGGTTTCATTAAAGCTTGCACTGAAAAAACTTTCAGTTGTTTTTTTTTTCTTTTTTTCTCTGCTCACGAGTCGCAACTGACGGTTAAGCAGCGACAAGTGCGTGCATGTGTTAACAAGACTCACTCCTGTAATCCCATGCGGTGTGTGAGGTGGCGGCAACCAAGGGAAGGGAGGGGGCCATCACTTGACTCATTCATGTTTTAATTTTTTTATTTTTTTTTTCTGAAAAAACTAAATTAAAACACTATCTTATCTTAATAAAATAGTATGTCAGAAGAAATGTTAGCCTCCACATTAATTTTTGATGAACATAACATAATATTTTTATTGTTTTACGATTGGAGTTTGGGACTTCTATCTCTTCTTTGATCTATAAAAGAAGAGGACATGATAGAAAGTAATTTTGTTAATCAATAAAATCAAAGTGTTTGATTGATACAAATAAGACAGCTTAACATAATATATATGAATCTAATCAATTCAATAATTTATTAAACATTAGATTATAAACTCTCGTTATATATCAAACAATTTAGATTTAAGAATTAAATAAATAATCATAACCTTAATGAGTTTTTAATATTCAACAAGTACAACACAAAATCTTAAGCCTATGCATATGGATTTCTGGGACTGGGGGCAGAACAGATTGTTCCCACATGCTTGTCAACCCTGCATTCTTGCACATAGATCATAATCAAAGTAAAATGGAAGTTAAAAATGAGAGAAGCTGCTTTTATTTTCTTTCGCAAGAGACCATAATCTTAGTAAAATTGAAGTTACAAATGACAAAAAGAAAGAAATTGAATTATATTTTTCCCACATATATATTATTCCAACAGAAACCTTATCAAAATTGATGCGGTTGTTAGAGCTAAGTTGTACAAGAATATTGGGGTACAAAATTTCTCTGTCTAACAAGCTCATGAAGATCATGAACAATTTTGAAAACAGCATCTGGTCTAGCTAGCTTCAGTGCATTCTGTGACATGGCCCTGAGCTCATCTGCTTTTGGACCAAACCATTCAGCAACGATGTTTGCAATTTCTTTCGGCGACTTTGAGAATTTCCCACACCCATTTTCCACCACGTAAGGTACGTTTCCAACTTCCTGTCAAATCCATACCCGAGTGCAGGTGAAAAAGAAGAAGCCAACGAAGGGTAGGGAGCTTTTACTTTTTAGTATTGAGCAAGAAAGATTTCAGTGCAGGCTATTTCAAAAACTCCAAAAGCAATATTGCTAGAATTGAAGCAGAGGACAATGACTCAAATGCATACTTCAAAGGCATGGCATCAAGTGAAAGGTTTCATCCATGGAGAATATATTTCAATGCTTATATGCAGCATCTACATTTGTGAAGACCAACTATTGTGACTAAAACCGTGCAAGATTCACCACATTATTAAATAATATAAGAGTCATCTGTTCCCTGAACAATCAACAATCCTAATGAAGTATTATGAATGAAAACGCAATTTTGCAGTAAATTTGATAACAGAGTGCAATGAAAACATACTTGTCCAGCAATGTAATCATTCAAGATTATCGGCAGCCCTCTTATCATTGCTTCAGCAATAGTCCCAGGGCCAGCCTTCCAAAAGAAAAGAAAAAAAAAAAGAAAATTATTAGTGACTTATAACGGAGATTGGAAACTCGAAACTACCATCACTGACATTAGGAAGTACCTTTGTAATAATGCAGTCACAAGCACCCATGCACTCCTCCATCTTAGTCACAAATCCCTTAACCTACATAATTAATCAATTTCAGCAACTATCCAGAATATTGACATGAGAATTTTGCAGATGTACAAGCACATATAAAAGCCAACTCTGCATCTTTTTTAATGTTTTCGAGGCATATCAAGTATATTCATTTCCA